ACTGCACTGGGGGGGGGGGGAAATAAGATGTGAGCTCCCAAAGCCTCCAGGACACCCCCATCCCCATCCCTAGCTCCGTACCTGTCCCCAACCCCAGCCCCATCCTTGTCCCCGTCCCCTGGTCCCCTTCCCATCCCCAGCCCCATCCAGTCCAACCCCCCCCACCATGGGCAGGGCCATCTTCACCCAGGTCAGGTCACTCACAGCCCCGTCCAGCCTGGCCTTGAGCGTCTCCAGGGATGGGGACCTCTTCCCAGCGTCACCACCGCTCCGGGCAACCTGTGCCAGCGTCTCACCACCCGCAGCGTAACAAATTTCTTCCTTCTAGCCAGTCTGAATTGCCCCTCTTTCATTTTAAAACCATTTCCCCCCCTCCCTTGTCTCATCGCTACAAGCCCTGCTAAAAAGTCCGTCCCCATCCCTGTCCCTGTCCCCGTCCCCATCCCTGTCCCCATCCCTGTCCCCTACCTGACAGCGCTTTGACGATCTGCTCCTTCTTCCACTCCCAGGGCTGCTCGTACTCGCCCGCCGGGCGCTCGTCGTTCTCGGGCAGGCGCCCATCCCCAGCCCTCGCTCTCCGCTCCGGGGTCCCCCCGGCCACCCCCTCTCCGGGCTCATAGGGGGTGTCATAGAGCTGCGGCCCCTTCCCCGCCGCCTCCTTGCCCCCCGGCCGCTTGGCTGGCTCCTGTTTGCCGCCCCCCTCCCCGGGCTCGCCAGGACCGTCCAGCAGCAGGATGGCTTTGACCAGGGGGTCCTTGGAGCCCCGACGGCGGATTTCTGCGAGGCAGAGGGACGGTGGGTCAGGGAGGGGGCCCGTGTGTCCCCTGAGACCCCCCCCCCCTCCAACACCTGCCCTTGGGAGGGGTGTGCACCAGGGCCCCCATGCCGGGGACGCCCCATTGGGAACCGGCTTGGGAGGAACCGGCACAGGAAGGGGCCCATCCTCGTGGCGCCTGGCCTGCTGTCGCAGGCACCGCGGGCGCAGACCCACACCGGTGGGGCCGGCGAGGCTCCGCGGCGGCAGGACCCTACACCCCGTGCTGAGGAGGCCACCCCAGGGGCGAGGGGGGCTGGCAGCCCACCCCGGCCCC